AAGAAATACTTCCTACTATCTCTCTGACTCATTTGTGTCTTCAACTTCCAATTGTGGCCTCTTGTTTCTGTGTCCCCTCCCTGGAACATCCTGTCCTTGTCCACCTTGTCTATTCCACGCAGTATTTTATATGTCGTTATCATGTCTCCCCTGACCCTCCTGTCCTCCAGTGTCGTCAGGCCGATTTCCCTTAATCTTTCTTCATAGGACATTCCCCTTAGCTCTGGAACTAACCTTGTTGCAAACCTTTGTACTTTCTCTAGTTTCTTGACGTGCTTTATCAAGTGCGGGTTCCAAACAGGTGCTGCATACTCCAGTATGGGCCTGACATACACGGTGTATGTCACGGTGTACACACGGTGTACACACGGTGTGTGTGTGTGTGTGTGTGTGTGTGTGTGTGTGTGTGTGTGTGTGTGTGTGTGTGTGTGTGTTTGTGTGTGTGTGTATGGTGTGTGTTGGTGTGTGTGTACCGTGTGTGTGTATGGTGTGTGTGTGTGTGTGTGTGTGTGTGTGTGTGTGTGTGTGTGTGGTGTGTGTGTATGTGTGTGTATGGTTTGTGTGTGTGTATGGTGTGTGTGTGTGTGTATGGTGTGTGTGTGTGTGTATGGTGTGTGTGTGTGTATGGTGTGTGTGTGTGTATGGTGTGTGTGTGTGTGTATGGTGTGTGTGTGTGTGTATGGTGTGTGTGTGTGTATGGTGTGTGTGTGTATGGTGTGTGTGTGTGTGTATGGTGTGTGTGTGTGTATGGTGTGTGTGTGTGTATGGTGTGTGTGTGTACTCACCTATTTGTACTCACCTATTTGTGGTTGCAGGGGTCGAGTCATAGCTCCTGGCCCCGCCTCTTCACTGATTGCTACTAGGCCCTCTCTCTCCCTGCTCCATGAGCTTTATCATACCTAGCCTTAAAACTATGTATGGTTCCCGCCTCCACTACTTCACTTTCTAGGCTATTCCACGGCTTGACTACTCTATGGCTGAAGAAATACTTCCTAACATCCCTTTGATTCATCTGAGTCTTCAACTTCCAATTGTGACCTCTTGTGTCTGTGTCCCATCTCTGGAACGTCCCGTCTTTGTCCACCTCGTCTATTCCGTGCAGTATTTTATATGTCGTTATCATGTCTCCCCTGACCCTCCTGGCCTCCAGTGTCGTCAGGCCGATTTCCCTCAACCTTTCTTCATAGGACAATCCCCGTAGCTCTGGGACTAGTCTTGTTGCAAACCTTTGCACTTTCTCTAATTTCTTGACGTGCTTGACTAGGTGTGGATTCCAAACTGGTGCTGCATACTCCAGTATGCGCCTGACGTAAATGGTATACAGAGTCTTGAACGAATCCTTACTGAGGTATCGGAACGCTATCCATAGGTTTGCCAGGCGCCCGTATGCTGCAGCAGTTATCTGATTGATGTGCGCCTCGGGAGATATGCTCGGTGTTATACTCACCCCCAGATCTTTTTCCTTGAGTGAGGTTTGCAGACTTTGGCCATCTAAACTATATTGAGTCTGTGGTCTTCTTTGCCCTTCCCCAATCTTCATGACTTTGCATTTGGCAGGGTTAAACTCAAGGAGCCAGTTGCTGGACCAGGCTTGTAGCCTGTCAGGTCTCTTTGAGTCCTGCCTGATCCTCATCCGATTTGATTCTTCTCATTAACTTCACATCGTCCGCAAACAAGGACACTTCTGAGTCTATCCCTTCCGTTATGTCATTCACATATACCAAGAACAGCACAGGTCCTAGGACTGACCCCTGTGGAACCCCGCTTGTCACAGGCGCCCCTCTGATACCTCGTCACGCCCAGACTCGTTGTTGCCCCCTTTAGGTATTTCGTCCATTGCGTCCCTTTCCCTGTTAGTGTGCCTGATCCTCTGCTTTTGCGTAACCTCTTGTGAGGAACTGTGTCGAAGGCCTTCTTGCAGCCCAAAAAAAAAATGCAGTCGATCCACCCCTCTCTCTTGTCTTATTTTCACCTTGTCAAAAAAAACCTAGTAGGTTTGTGACAAGGTTTTTTCCTTTTCCTGAAACCATGCGGGTTGTCAATTTACACTTGTTTTTTTCCATGCTCCACCACTCTCCTCTGATAAATCTTCTCCTGACTTGCACTTAACTTTTGTGATAAGGTCTGTATTTTAGTGCCTCATGTCTGTCCCCCTTTTTAAAAATTGGGATTTAATTTTGCATCTCCATACCTGGGGGTTGCTCAGTTTCAAATGATGTGTTGAAGATTTTGAAAACGGTACACAAAATATCTCTGCTCCCTTTTTAAAGGGACCCATGGAGGATGTTGTCTGGTCCCCTCCCTTTGAGGTGTCAAGTTCGCACAGCACTTTTTTCCCTCCCCTTGGGTTATATGTACCCACCAACTTGCTGGTGTACCCCCCTGCTCGTTTTCCTGGAGTTTATGGTTTCCACTTTTAAATTTCTTTAAATCTTTTTTTGAGCTCTGACTACCTCCCGGTCGTTTCTTGTGAATTCCCCTCCCCCTTCCCGTTGATTACCTGGTCCTTGACTTTTGTTTCCCCCTGTGTGGCTGTCAACACTTCGGGTCAGTCTTGACTTTCGTGCTTGTCATTTTCGTATTGCCTGAGCCCCCCTTCTTTTCTTGCATATTTGTTTCTGGCTTTGGGTAATCTCTTTATTTTCCGAGTTTCATCTTCTGTCCTTTTCCATCTTAGTACACCCAGTTTTTGCCTCCTTTCACTTTGGGGGGAACCAAGGGTCGTTTTGTTTTCCCATATTTCTTTTTCCCTTAGAAAACAAAAACCCCCCTCTGCCTCCTTGCATTTTTTTGCCAATGTCCACCTTTTTTTTGCTGGTTTTTTCCCGCAGTTCCCCCTCCCCCTGAAGTCTTAAAGAAGTTCCCCAAGCCTGAGTAGCCCCCTTTTTTAGTTTGGTTTTTCCCCCCCTATTTCTGCTGCTCTTCCACTTGGAGTCAAAAATGTAGTCGAAGACAGAACCCCTGATACATCCCAGGGGCCTTATACATGATTCCTCGATGTCAAAAAATATCAGGTAAATACAAGGGCAGTCTTTTGGGGTTTATCCTTTCTCTCTCTCTGGGATGTTTTTAAAGTTGTGCTGAGGTTTTTCCCCGTACCACATCCACATCTTGGGTCTCCCTGTTTTTGGGACCCCCCTGGGGTCCGGTTTTCCCAGTCAATTCCTTTTGGGTTGAAATCACCCATAAATAAATTTGCTCCCCCCATGTGGCTCTCTGGGCCCCTGGCTAGTGTGTCGCCCATTGCTGTTGCTCTCATCGTATTCTTCCCTTGGCCTCCTGCAGTTCTGTGGTGGGTTGTACGTTACTGCAATTATCACCTTATGTCCCTTAGACTGGATTGTTCCTACTAAGTAGTCCCTTTCGCCCGTGCCATCCATTCCTTCCATTTTTTTCAAACCCCCACTGGTTTTTAATGAGCAGTGCAACTCCTCCTCCCCCTCTGCTCCCTCTGTCTTTCCTGAGGATTTGATATCCGGATGGAAAGATTGAATCTGTTATTATTCTGGTGAGTTTTGTTTCTGTGAGTGCTATTATGTCTGGGGATGTCTCCTTGATTCTTTCGTGCCACTCCTCATACTTATTTGTTATTCCATCTGCATTTGTATACCACACCTTCAACTTCTTTTCTAAGATTGTGGTCTGGGAGGTGTATTGGGGTTGGGGAGTGGGAGACCTGATAAGGAACTGTAGGTGGTTGCTGTGGGGGTGGAGTTTGTAATGCAGTGGGTGGGGGCATTGGATGTGGCATGGGTGTTTTGGTTTAGAGTGTTTGGTTGCACTGGGGTTGACCTGGTTGGGAGGCTTCTATAGGAAGTTGTGAGGGAGGCTGTATTTGATCTTCCTGTGTCTGGGATCTCCTGTCTGTCTTCTCCATCCCCTCTCTTTTCTCCTTTCGCCTTTGTACCATCTCTCTCTGTTTCTGCCTTTCTGCTTGTGTTCTGTCGTGGTCGAGATACACCTTCCTGTATGCCGGCATGTCCCTTAATCGTGCTTTCTCCTGCAGGATCCTGTTCCGAGTCGATTCTGCCTTGAAGGTCACTTTCATTGGCCGGGTTCTTTTTTTTACAAACCCCCCTATTCTCCGAAAATTTTCCAGCTGAGTCCCTGTCGTCTTCTCCTATTGCTTTCACGATGCTTTCAATTGCTTTTCTTTCCCCTTGTTTTCTTGCTTCATATGTTTCCCCTTCAACTTCCTGGAGCCCATACGTATGTATGTATGTGTGTATGTATGTGTTTGAGTATGTATGTATGTGTTTCCCCGATAAACCATTTGTCCAACCAATCATCTGCCTCCACTCCTATCTAATACACTCACACATGCCTGCTGTATGTCCAAGCCCCTGGCACACAAAATGTACTTTACCCTCTTAGACGCGACATCTCCACTACCTCCAGCTTCCTCCTTACTGCAGCATTCACAACCCATGCTTCACACTCATATAATGTTGGTATCACTATACTCTTGTACATTCTCTTCTTTGCCTCCATGAATAATGTTCTTTGTCTCCACAGATACCTCAATGCAACACCCACCTTTTTCCCTTTATTAATTCTGTTGTTCACCTTGTCTTTCATATATCCACCTGCTGACACATCCACTCCCAAATATCCAAACACATTCACTTCTTCCATACTCCCTCCAATCTGATATCCAATTTTTTCCTTGTCTAACTTATTTGATACCCTCATCACCTTACTCTTTGCTATGTTCACTTTCAATTTCTTTTACCCACCCTCCTAAACTGTCCACTAACCTTTGCAACTTTTCTTCAGAATCTCCCAAAAAGCAGGGTCATCAGCAAAACACATAACTGTGTCAACTCTCATTTTGCATTAGATTCTGGATATTTTAATCTCACCCCTCTCCAATGCCCTAGCATTTACCTCTTTTACAACCCCATCCATGAATATGTTAAACACTTATAGGCATGACTTCCATTTTGCTACAAGATAAAGTCCATAAAATTAATATAAAAAAATTCAAACACTATAAATACCTCCATAGGAAGTGGTTGTGGCACAATTTCATCTTCTATAAGGTCAACCAGACCTGTTATAGTGCTCATTAACAACGACAGATTAAGGTCAGCAACATGTCCTTTTAGGAAAGGTTTAATCAGCACTGGAAGATGGGCTCCTGAGATGCCTTTTGGTGCTTCAGCTCCAGGAGAAATTGGCTCAACATGAGTGTCTAAGCGAATCTTAAGGCAGCAGGGATCTGTGGCAGCTAAAGAATCTGACCAACCTCTGCACCGACCGCTGAACTTTGTCTGGAAAAAATAATGAAACAATCTTGTTCTTATATCTTTAAATGACTGTTAAAACCATCAATTTTAACATGTATACCTGTACATAACCATAAACTAATAAAACATACAAATTCAGTTATACAAAACTAACCACAAGGAAAAAATTGAAATGTAGTATTACAGTCGTTAATAAAGCATTAATACACAACAATTACAACTCTGTCTCTTTCTTTTCCATATGGTTATCTAACTATATGTACATATAGTGTTTTGTATAAACTGCTAATATGTACATGTGCATACTAATATAGCTTCAAAACAATTTGCTGATGATCTACTTGGCTTAGAATAATGTGTGTAGCCAGGTTTACTATATAACTCCTTGCCAAGGGTTCCAATACTCTTCCCTTCTCTTCACCCTTGGTGATCTATCTAATATTTAAAATTTCTTGCAAGTTGCCCTTTGTCATACATGTCATTTGAAATGAAGTTAAAACTGGCCAATCACTGAAAATTTTAAATTATTACTACTACTACAATCAAAACTAAGCACTAAACCCACCAGGATCATACAGGGCTGGAAGTACTAAAGACGAAATATGCAAATATCGGAGACCAGCAAGGGTTAGAAGTATGCAAGAGGCAGAATCAGAAAGGGCAATGGGGAGTGCTAAAGGAAAAATATTATCAAAGTTAGTGTAATAAAGCAGTCGCTGACAAAAAGTTGAAGATGTAGTCGGTGTTAAAGGTGGGGCTGTCAGTGAGGTCAGATAAAGTAAGTGCGTGAGGGTGGTGACAATGCCAGAGATAAATTCTGTGTGCCTGCTGATAGACAGGACAGTCTAATTACAGATGGTGACCTGACAACGGAACTTGACAATTCTAAGAGCAGTGCCGAGTGCTTTTTCTAAAAATACCAATGAGCGAGATGTGTGTGTGTCCGACACACAGGCATGAGAGTGTAGTCTCCCAAACACGACAGTGATAAGATGATCAGAAACCCATATAAGGTCTGATGGAATAAACTTGTTATGGATCAAGTCAGATAACTATTGTTGTCAATGGTTGCAAAGTTGTCTAGAGATTACTGCAAAATAGTCTAAAGATGGAATATCCCTATATGAAGAGGTGGTTATGAACAGCTGACTATACAGCAGAGAATCTGTTTGCTCACTGCTCCAAACATCCATGTGTCTAAGGACCCAACAGAAAACATCATCATCTTGTTTTTAGAAGAAATGCAGTGCAACTAAAGTTGTATACGAAGAACTAGGGGATAAGGAGAATCATATTTTTGGAGAACCAGTAAAGCAGTAGAGGAGTCTGAAACTACTACTACTACTACTACTACAATGCAACGTGTATAACAGTGATGAGAAATGCATACAGCTCAGCTGTAAAAATGCTAGCCGAGTCTAATACATGACATCGTACAACTTTGTCCTGAAAAACTGCTGCAAACCTCCATGAGAATGAGATTGGAAGTGGTTAAGAAAAAAGAAGCAAGAAGCTACAGTAGGTAATTAAGCATTCACATATAAAAGTGGGGAAGAACAGACACGAATCATTGGAACTTCCCAAGGAAAAAATGTTAGATGCTGGATGGCCATATAAACTGATATGATTTTTTTTCAAATGTATACATTTTGCTTATTTCAATAAATGTGATTGTAACAATGATCAACATAATTCATCAATGGTTAGGTTAATTTCAAACCTACGTACTTGAAATTCAAGTGTAATGACAAAAATGCAATTATAAATATAAAAGGGATGTTCAGTAGTAATAAAAGGGCCAGGCAAGTTACTTTTCTATGGACAAGCACTGCTCTTGATCCCAGGCTCTGGTGCTTTGATTAGGTACTTCCTGGTTGCTAGTGTCTCAAGTGTGTAATAAACTTTCAAGTAGATCAATTACATCACTAAACACATTACATCTTCCACGGTATGGCTGCCTGCCACTATATTAATTTTATAATACAAACTTTTAATATTTTATTATTTATTGATTTATTTAATTCATGTTAAGTGCTAAACGCATGTGGGTCATTCAGTGCAAGACATGGTGGATTGATCCTCTGTCTGGTGAGTGCCAGACAAATGTGCTTCCTATTTTTATTCACATTTTTGCTGATGATACTGTGCTTTTAGGAGATTCTAAATTGAAGTTGCAAAGGTTAGTGGATGAGATTAGGAGGGTGTGTAACAGAAGCTGAATATGAACATAGATAAGAGTAAGGTGAGGAGGGTACCAAATGAGTTAGGTAAGAAAAAAATGGATATCAGATGGGAGGGGGCAGGGAAGAAGTGAATGTGTTCAGATATTTGGGAGTAGATGTGTTGGTGGATGGGCATATAAAGAATGAGGTAAACCACAGAATTCATGAAGGGGAAAAAAATGGGAAGTGCACCGAGGTATTTGAGACAAAGACTTATCCAAGGAGGCAAAGAAGAGAATGAATGAAAGTATAGTGGTACCAACACTCTTATATGGGTGTGAAGCATGGGTTGTAAATGCCGCAGCAAGGAGGAGGCTGCAGGCAGAGCAGATGTCATCATGTCTAAGGGCAATGTGGGGCGTAAATATTATGCAAAGAATTCGTAAAGTGGAAATTAGGAAGAAGTGTGGAGTTACTAAAAGTATTATTCAGAGGACTGAGGAGGGATTGTTGAGGTGGTTCAGTCATTTAGAGAGGATGGAGCAAAACAGAATGACTTGCAGGGGGTGTATAAATCTGTGGTGGAGGGAAGGCATGGTAGAGGTCTTCCTAGAAAAGGATGGAGAAAAGGTGGTGGGGGATAAAGGCAGTTTTTGTGTGCAAGGGGCCTGGACATACAGCAGGCAACATGTGAAAGTATTAGATAGGAGTGGAGATGAATAGTTTTTGGGAGTTGATGAGCTATCGCAGGGTAATATTTTGTGAAGGGTTTCAGGGAAACTGGTTAGCCACCTGGAGGTGGAAAATGCAATGCTTGCACTTTAAAGGAGGGTTTGGGATATTGGCTGTTTGGAGTGACCTCTAAATTGTATCAGAGTACCTCTGCAAAGACAGTGGTTATGTGTGAATGATGGTGAAAGTGTTAAATGACAGTGAGAGCATTTGCTTTTTTGGGTCACCCTGCCTTGGTGGGAGGACAAAGTGATGAAAAAAAAAAAATTGGTAAAAAGAGCACAGGTTGACTATCACTAATCCAGTATCAAGAGATGCCAATTTCAAAATAGGGTTCAGAATAAACAATGCAGACATTTCTGGCACTAAAACAACATATTCTCCATTCATTAGTCACGTCTCCAGGCCTCTGTTATATCACGCTTGCTTTCCATTTTGAACTTTTATTCACACACAAAAATAGAAGATTTACTGTTATGCAGATTACTACATTATTGTGATAATCGTATAAATAATGTCAACCCATTCATGACCACGTATTAGACAGACCAGTTGGACACGTACTGGACACGTGACGTGATTTGTTTACTCTTGAACATTGGCAAACATCGAATATTTCTGCTATTTGAGCTCAAATTCAAGGCACTTTCTGCTCTGAAACCAAAATAATCTCTATTTCTGTAATATATCTTCCATTCTATTAAATGAGACCAAGAAACTGAGAATACAACCATGAAAACCATACAAAAATACACAGCAAAATCACGGTTTTACACCAAAAACACTGTTGCAGTTTTTCTTTTTTCTCATTATGCGCTGCGTGCTTCAGGGCTTTTCTTTTACATAGTGCACACTTACCACACAGACCTATTCTCTGATATGTAGGTTCAAATTTACTGGTCACAGCTTATCTGAGTGAGCTGAGCTCATGGCATCGTACTACAAGACCAACAGTAACTTCAAAGCCATCTTATCTTTTATGGACAATGTATGGCGTTTGTGTTTCACATGAGAACTGTAGTAGGTTTGCTGGTCCTTTATTCGTTGGAACCACGGGTAGGGCTAAAAGTGAGTAGGTTATAACAATAAATGGAGAAAAACAAATTGGAATGACTCGTGCAGCAAAGAGTGCCACCAAACAGTAGCGGCAGGTTGGCGCAGTGACCCCGGAAATTGGAAATTTAGCCAAAATTAGTGCCAGACTACTGATGGAACTGGATTAGTGATGGCCAACCTGTATTTATATAAATGGGGTAATAAGTGTGTTTTTATAATCAGGGTAACAAGTATTAATAATGGGAAATAAGCACACTTATATAACTAGGGTAATAAAAGTGCTTAAATAAATGAGTAACAAGTGCTTATATAAATGGGTAACAAGTGCTTATATAAATGGGTAACAAGTGCTTATATAAATGGGTAACAAGTGCTTATATAAATGGGTAATAAGTGCTTATATAAATGGGTAACAAGTGCTTATATAAATGGGTAATAAGTGCTTATATAATGGGAAACAAGTGCCTATATAATTGGGTAACAAGTGTGATTATATAAATGGAGTAATAAGTGTATTTGTATAAGTGGGGTAATAAGAGTGCTTTTTTAACTGGGGTAACAAGTGTGCTTATGTAAATGGAGAAATAAGAGCACTTATATAAGTGGGGTAATAAGAGTGCTTACACCTCAGAGTTGACAGGTTTACTATAAAAGAGTGCAGGGGGAGCCATGGCTGCTGCTCTAGCCAGTTTAAAAAAAAGTTTTTTCTTACAGGACTGTAAAACATTATAAACTATAAATAACAACAACAAAAAAAGAAAATTTAAAAATAATGAGACCTTATCTTTTGGTGAATATTAAAATTGTATAAATTTGCCTTAGCCATGAGTGGAAAAATGTGCATACTGTAGCACATGTGCGTATTTAAAAATTATTCTTATTTCTAACAAATGTTATTTTTTTTATCATGTTAGAGTAGGGCCCCACTTATACTTCAGGTTAGGTTCCAGGCTACTGTCGTAAAGCGGAAATCACCATAAAGTGGAACACCCTTTTTTTCCACTTATAAATGCATAGAAATACTATATAACAAGTTTACACTAACATATATTAAGTTAGCAATAAAACTAGGCATTAAAAAACAATAAAAAAGTAAAATACACATATAGTACACTCATTACTTACCTTAA